TTTTTAATTTTTTTTTTTTTTCAATCCTGAGTCCTTTTGAAATGAACCTCACAGATTCAGGTCTCCCTTAATGGGTTAGGCGTGAAAGTTGCTCTATACTCATCAATGCCTTGATCTTCAGTTTCCCATGCCTGTGTGCTCCCTCGTAGGGTGTATTGACTAACATCAAAACAGAGCACATCTGCAGGGCCTGAAATCAAGTTTAGAAAATGCTGCCAGATCAAAGGGAGGCTTGTGTGAATCTGTCACGAATTAGACAGATGCGCATATGTCATTGATTTTAACAGACACTGGGCACAGGGGTCCCGTGCCACACTCACTCAGGGAACCAGGCTGCTGGGGGCCCACAGTCTTGCAGTTGTCTCATTTGGAATATGTGACCTTGCTACTCATGGTAGTGGTGGGTTTAAAATGTTTCACAAATTCCTTGATTCTTAGCCTACAGGAGACAGAAAAATAAGTATGCTGGGAAAATACGTCGCTGCAATTTTCTCAAATGTTCCTCTCTGAAGCTAGAGTGAAGCTTTTTTTTTTTTTAACGTTTATTTATTTTTGAGACAGAGAGAGACAGAGCATGAACAGGGGAGGGTCAGAGAGAGGGAGACACAGAATCTGAAACAGGCTTCAGGCTCTGAGCTGTCAGCACAGAGCCCGACGCGGGGCTTGAACTCACGGACCGCGAGATCAAGACCTGAGCCGAAGTCGGCCGCTTAACCAACTGAGCCACCCAGGCGCCCCCCCCTTTTTTTTTTAAACAGAATAGTGGGAGAGAGAATGATAATATAAGGGGTCTTATGCAAATAAATAAAATTGTTAAATGTGCATCCTCATAGTCCTAAAGAGAAAGTATCTCTTAATTAGCTAACCCTGCCTGATATGGAGGCCTCTGAACATTCGAGCCCCCAGAAAGGCTGGTGAAGAAAAAGAAGGAAATAGAAGCAAATACACCTGGATAATTACACTTTCAGGGTAATGTTGGGATTTAAAATAATAAATGCAAAATGTTTCACATGGTACATGTAAAAGATAACATTTGAGTGTGTTTTATCTAATTATCTTTATATTCAGGAGAAAAAAATGACAATTATAGAAGCTTCTTACCTCTTCCGCACTGGTAATTTCTAAAATAAACACAAATTAAAGGGGCGCCTGGGTGGCGCAGTCGGTTAAGCGTCCGACTTCAGCCAGGTCACGATCTCGCAGTCTGTGAGTTCGAGCCCCGCGTCAGGCTCTGGGCTGATGGCTCGGAGCCTGGAGCCTGTTTCCGATTCTGTGTCTCCCCCTCTCTCTGCCCCTCCCCCGTTCATGCTCTGTCTCTCTCTGTCCCAAAAATAAATAAATGTTGAAAAAAAAAATTAAAAAATAAAATAAAATAAAATAAAATAAACACACATGGGCAGCTCTTTCTGCCCACAGGTCCTGTCTCCATGCTTTAATAAAATCACCTTTTGGGGCACCTGGGTAGCTCAGCCAGTGTTAAGCATCCGACTTCAGTTCAGGTCATGATATTATGGTTCATGAGTTCAAGCCCACCTCGGGCTCTCTGCTGTCAGCACAGAGCCTGAAGCCTGCTTCAGATCCTCTGTCTCCCTCCCACTCTGCCCCTCCCATGCTCACACTTTCTCTCTCAAAAATAAATAAACATTAAAAGAATTTTTTAATCACCTTTTTGCACCAAAAAAATAATAAATAGGGGCGCCTGGGTGGCGCAGTCGGTTAAGCGTCCGACTTCAGCCAGGTCACGATCTCGCGGTCCGTGAGTTCGAGCCCCGCGTCGGGCTCTGGGCTGATGGCTCAGAGCCTGGAGCCTGTTTCCGATTCTGTGTCTCCCTCTCTCTGCCCCTCCCCCGTTCATGCTCTGTCTCTCTCTGTCCCAAAAATAAATAAACGTTGAAAAAAAAAATTTAAAAAAAAATAATAAATAAAAATAAAAGAGAGCATGAAAGGTTTTTTTGCATCTTGTGTTCATGAAACACAGCCAGATCAACACTGAACCATCCTGCACACCTAGAAAACTGATTTGAGGATTAACACAACAATCTGCACAACCTGAACCACAGAACTCCGCAGGTACACCACGTGGAGAAGTGAACTGGGGGAGAGAGAAGCCGCAGAGGGCAGGGAGTTGTTTTGGCGTGTGCAGAGAGGACAGAGATGGGGGGAGAGTATGGGAAAAGCACCCCCCTCCCCAAAGCAGCTGGAGAGAAAGTGGAAAAGTGGAAACAGCCGCAGGGGCTGAACTAAAAAGGGAGAAAGGAGAGGGTTTAAATACCAACATACCGAATCTAAAACAAGAACACAGAGTCTGAAACTCTCAGTTCATACCTGGGGTGCTCCTGGTGGGAGGCGAATCCCCAGGAGCAGAGTGGAGTCCGGGGAGAAGCCCCGAGACCACCGCAGGAGAAAGCTGAGTTCCCCTGCGGGAGGACAGCGGTAGAGGCTGTCTGCGGCCCAGCCCCCCCACACAGGCAAAGGTGCCAGCAGACCGGAGAACAACCACATTCGCTGGTGCTGGAACAAGGGCGTTAAGGGGAAACCTGGTGCCAGACGCGTGTCGCGATTTTCCATAATCCCTGAAACGCTGCTGCTACAGATCATGGGAGCTTTTTCCGGGGCGGGGTGGCGCCCAGCCGTGGTCTCTGGGTCGGAGGTGGCACAGTCCCGAGAATGGTCCTGGGTGCGGCCGGCACCGGCCATTGCTCGGTGAGACCCTCCCCCAGAAGGTGTGAGCGGGACAAAACCGCAGCCCCTCTGAAGTGAGGGGTTGGGAAACAAAGCCGCATCTGAGATAAAACTCAGCAGGGAGGTGCCGCCTGCAGCCTGATGGCTTGCTCACGGACAGGGTAAGAGCGGGGAGTGGATGGAAGCGGAAGACAAAGGACAGGTGCGCGATTGCTGCTCCCGGAGACACGGAATTCCAATACTAGAGCCTGGGTAGCTGCCTGTCGCCATTTCACCCTTCCCGCGCATGCGCGCACACACCTACCAGCGCCACAATTCGCCCCAGTAAACTAAGCAGCGCCACGTAGTGGAGAACGGAGCCGTTACACCAAGCCCCGCCCAACAGGGCCAACCTCACTCTTCAGGAACCACAAGTCTCTCCACCTGCTTAGTTTACGGACTATAAAATGCTTCATAGTGACTTTTAGGAGAAAACGATGTAATTTCAATCATATTTTAGTCTTGGTCTATCTATTCAATTTTCTTTTTTTCTTTTCATTTCTTTTTCTTGAATACAGAAAGAGAAAAAATTTATTTTTATTTTCAATTTTTATTAAAATATTTTCTTTATTTTTCTACCATATTTTTTACTTTTTTGTAAATTTTCAAATTCTATTTTACTTCCATCATTTCATTTTATTCTATTCTATTGTATTCATTTTCTCAAATTTTCAAATGTTTTCCTTTTTTTTCTTGTTTTTTTTTTTTTTTTTTTTTTTTTTTTTTTTTTTTTTCTGTTTTTCCCCCTTTTTTCTCTAATCTGTCAAACTCCTTCCAATAACCAGACCAAAACCACCCAGGATCTAGTAACATTTATTTGATTTTTTTCTGTGTGTGTGTTTTTAATTTTTTAATTTTAGTTTTTTACCTTATTAGTTCCTTTTCTCCTTCAAAATGACAAAATGAAGGAATTCACCCCAAAAGAAAGAGCAGGAAGAAATTACAGATAGGGAATTAATCAACATAGATACAAGCAAGATGTCTGAACCAGAATTTAGAATCACAATAATAAGAATACTAGCTGGAGTCGAAAACAGATTAGAATCCTTTTCTGCAGAGATAAAAGAAGTAAAAGCTAGTCAGGATGAAATAAAAAATGCTATAACTGAGCTGCAACTCCAATGGATGCCACAGTGGCAAGGATGGATAAGGCAGAGCAGCAAACCAGCAATATAGAAGACAAACTTATGGAGAATAATGAAGCAGAAAAAAAGAGGGAGACTAAGGCAAAAGAGCACGATTTAAGAATCAGAGAAATCAGTCACTCATTAAAAATGATGATGAACAACATCAGAATTGTAGGGGTCCCAGAAGATGAAGAGAAGGAAAAAGGGGTAGAAGGGTTATGTGAGTAAATCATACAGAAAACTTTCCTAACCTGGGGAAAGACATAGACATCAAAATCCAGGAAGCACAGAGGACTCCCATAAGATTCAACAAAAACTGACCATCAGCAAGGCATATCATAGTCAAATTCACAAAATAAGCAAGGAAAGAATCATGAAAGCAGCAAGGGGGGGAAAGTCCTTAACCTACAGGGTAAGACAAATCAGGTTTGCAGCAGCCCTGTCCACAGAAACTTGGCAGGCCAGAAAGGGGTGGCAGGATATATTCAGTGTGCTGAATTGGAAAAATATGGAGCCGAGAATTCTTTATCCAGCAAGGTTGTCATTCAAAATAGAAGGAGAGATAAAAAGTTGTGCAGACAAACAAAAATTAAAGGAGTTCGTGACCACTAAACCAGCCCTGCAAGAAATTTTAAGAGGGACTCTCTGAGGGGAGAAAAGATGA